TGAAGGCTGTACGGGAGAAGCCGTTGAAGAGAGATGATTGTCAGGAGGTGTCGGTCCTGAAACAGATACCATGGAGGATTAGAGAGGGATGAAAGAAATATCTATTCCTTACTACCAAACTCATCAAGAAAAAGATTATCTTTAGGTAGCTAATACCAGAAGGAATATTTTTCACATGGAACGCTGTAAGATATTAATTGGATTCAATTTTTAAAGCACAAGAGTTCTATGAGGAATTCAGAGCCATATTGGAAGAGGAGGATCTTGTCATCTCTAAAGAAGGAGAAAAAGGTGCCGAAGCAATGGAAACAACAGCGTACCATTCTGAAGAAGGAGAAATACTGCGGGTTGATTCACAACAAGAAGTACAAACTTTGGACTCAAAGGAAAAAAAAAAGTAGAACTGTAAAGGCAAAGAATAAGTAGATAATTTTATTTAAATATGGCTCTGAAAAAGGAAGGGAACATTGAATTGTTCTCCTTAAATGTTAATGGACTAAATGGACCATCTAGGAGAAGAAGGATTTTTGCTCAACTCCAAAAATGAAAGTTAGATATAATCTGTTTACAGGAAACACTTATTAAGAAACAATGTATTAAACTTCTGGAATGCTTAAAACTGGGGAAATTGTTTGTATCTTCTGCATGGCAAAAGAAAAAAGGGTTAGCATTATATGTTACAGAAAAATTGGACCCTAAATATATTCGTGCTGATGAGGATGGTAGGATCTTGATGGTAGAAATTACAATTAAACTTAAAAAGGTGCTCTTAGTGGCAATTTACGCACCAAATGACCATCAGGAAACTTTTTTACCAAAAATTACATACGTTACTTTTGCAGGTGGACTACCAGACCATGTGTGTAATGGGTGATTTTAATGCAATTGTGGATAAGGGAATGGATCATAAGAGTGAAAGTACGGGAAAAAGGGGTAGGAGGATGTCCCAAAGTCTTGCTCCAACTTGATTGAAGAACTCAGATTGATAGACGCCTGGAGGCATAAAAACCCAGCTTCTGCCAATTATTCTTTCTACTCAAACAGACGTAGGTCGTGGTCTAGAATTGACATGGTTTGGATAAGTCCAGACTTAGTTCCAGATTTAATAGAAGCTGAAATGGAGACAAACGTCTGGGCAGATCATAATCCTGTATTTATATCACTGAAAGGAGCTGCAAGGACGCCCAGATGGAGCTCAGATAAAGCGTTACTAAAAGATAAAAAATTTAGAGAAGAGATAAGCAAAGAAATGCAAATATTCTTTCAAATAAACAAAGCGGAAGCAACTTCTTTACAGAATGGCTGGGGTACAGCTAAAGCCTATGTCAGGGGACTGATAATAACTTACTCAGCAAAAATAAATAAAAAGAAAAAGCAAGAGCGAACAATATTAGTAGAAGAACTGAGGAAACGGGAACAAGAACTGCAGGAGGATCCAACAAAAAGAAATCTTAGGGTCCAAATGAATACTTTAAAGCACAAATGGAATCTCTTGGATACAAATGAAATTACTAAGCAAATGAAATTGGCCAAACAGCATTTTTTTGAAAATGCTAATAAACTGGGGAGATGGCTAGCATATAAAGTAAAAAAAGAGAGAGAGAAGAGACTGATTTTGAAACTGAAAGACGACTACAGGTACAAAATACACAAACAAGAAAATAGCTGAAGACTTTTTTGCAAGGTTATACCGGAAGGAGGAGATTCTGATCGAGAAGGCAAAAGAATACATTCGAAAGGGAGACTTACCAAAACTACCAGAAAAGTATCAAAATTATTGAATCAAGAAGTAACAACTATGGAAATAACAGAAGCAATTATGCGGCAAAAGAACGATAAACCCCCTGGTCCAGAGGGGCTACCAGCTGAATTTTATACATCTTTTGAGGGAGTTTTTGCTACATTTTTATTTATTTATTTATTTATTTAAAACATTTCTATGCCGCCCCATTCGCCAAAGCCTCGGGGCGGCTCACGACATAAATTAAAATATAATACATTCAAAATATAAAACAAATTAACAATATAAAATAAGTTGCCCTGGCCAGATAAAATAAGCAAATAATATTAACAATTAAAATGACGTTTAAATAAAAAGGTCTTCTCCTGGCGCCAAAAAACAAGTAACAAATAACGACGGCGCCAGACGTTTTTAAAAGATATATGTAATGAAGCACTGTTAAATGCTAAAATACCAGATACTTGGACAGAGGCAGATATCACATTAATACCGAAAGAAGATATGGACTTAACACAGATTCAAAATTATAGACCTATTATTATTATTATTATTATTATTATAACATTTCTATGCCTTATGTCCTTACTAAATGTGGATTATAAAATTTTTGCCTCTATACTGGCAGAAAGGTTGAAGAAGTTTTTAATAGACTTTATTCACCCAGACCAAAATGGTTTCCTGCCTAAAAGACAAATGAAGAACAATCGGAGGACGATCTTGGATATCCTAGAATACTATAAGACACACGGAAAAATCAATGGCTCTGCTGTTTTTGGATGCCCAGAAAGCCTTTGATAATGTTAACTGGCAATTCATGAAGCAACAGGTGGCGCCAAGGGAGTTCGGGGGAAAATTCATGGATGCAATATCAAGTATCTATCAAAGACAATCGGCCAGGATTTTAATTAACAGAGAACTTACAGGAGCTATAGAGATACAAACGGGTACAGGGCAGGGACGCCCGTTGCCACCCCTGTTGTTTATTCTGACTTTAGAGGTTTTGAATAGAATTGTTAGGGACGACGAGAACATTAAGGGTACTAAAATTAGAGACGAAAATTATAAATTGCAAGCATTCGCACATGATTTGGTCTTCCTAACAGAGGAACCTTTTGTAACAATCCCTAAATTTTTACAACGGATTGAAGAATATGGTGAGGTTACGGGGATGAAAATATGTTTTAATCTGCAGCCAGGGTGGATCTGGAATTTATTTGTATTATGTTTTATATTATTATTCTTATTTATTTATGTATGCTGTCCTGAGGCTTTTGCGAAAGGACGGCATATAAATATTCTACATAAATAAATAAATAAAATAAGTATTAAAACAAAGCCCCACATATGATCTTTGTGCTTTCCGCACTTCCCAAGCAGTGCTTTGTGCAGCTTTTTGTCCAAACATGTAGGAGATGGAATTTTGAGTAAATATAACCCTGTCTGAAAATCCATGGATACAAAACTCAGACATGGTTCGCTTCTGTTTTTCACATATTAATTGCAACAGAGAGCAACACAGCAAACGATCTTGAACTAAAATGGGAAAAGAAGCCAGGTGCAGGAATTTCGGGTCATGTTTTTTACAATGGACCAAAACTCTCCCTGGTTCTCCGTCTGGACAAAAACGTACCGTATGGAGCCGTTGGCTGGCAAAGATACAGCTCGACGTGAGAGGAACCTGCTGGAAAGGTGGGGAGATCAGCACAGCCTCCCTTCACACAATGAGGACTCGTTAAAAAACCCCGAAAGTTAAAGGAACGTTACAGTCCAATTCAACAGTATCACTGGCAATTCTATACTTGCAAATCCAGTGTTCATCTTGTGTGTGGTTGTCAGAAGGGCGCATGCCGTTTTGGAAGGTCATCTTTCCCTAGTTGCAAAATCAATAGGTGCCAGGCTGAGATGGAGTTGAAGGCAATGGGTTGAGAAGATGCCAGGTGTTCTGCCACGAAAGCAGAGTTAATGGAAGTGGCTGACCTGTGCGAAAGTAGATGACAAGCAAAATCTATTTATTTATGTATTTATTTATGAAAACAGTTTTATGCCGCCCCATTCACCGAAGCCACGGGGCGGCTTACAACGTTAAGTTAAAAAAATAATAATTCTTATAACATTAAATTAAAAATTATTATTACTATTATTATTATTATAACATTTCTATGCCGCCCCTTGCCGAAGCCTCGGGGCGGCTTACAACACAATAAGATACATTGAAATACAATAGAACATAATAAATTACCAATAAATACAAAAATACAAAAAATACACTGAGAATACAAAAAATACACTGAGAATACAAAAAATGCAAACATTAAGTTAAACATGCAAAAATACCACTATAAAATAAGCCGCCCTGGCCGGATAAAATCCAATAATATTACCAATTAAAAGGCCGCTTCAATACAAAGGTCCATGAGCCGCCTGGGATGCTACGCGCGACCTACGGGAGAGAGCAGCTCCATTGGACCATCAATGCGCCCCGAGCCGTGGCCGCTCCTGGAGAGGAGGGTGGATGGCGAGGCGTTTCGTGGGACTTTTCATTCATTTTCTTAAAGCGTTCCTATGCCTCGGGAGGGCAACGCGCCACTTCGCCATCGTCCTGTTTTGCAGCCCCGAGTCGTGGATCTGGAGGCCCGGTTCCCCCCCACGCTGCGCAGGAGCCCACAGACACGCGGGTTCTGCGGCATCGGACCCCCCCCCCCCCCCCCCGCCCCGGATCAGCGGGCTCTCGCCCCGCGTGCGTTTGGAACCCCCTCGGGGCGGGGGCCTTGGGGAATGGCCCGCCGTGTGCACCTGCACGTCAGCATCTGCCACTCGATGCGTGTCTCGGGGGGACCGGACGCCTGCAGCAGAGCATCGGGGGGTCTCTGCTAACACGGGGGCGGGGGGTCCCCGCCCCCCCCCAGTCAGCCGGCCCACCCAGGTGCGTGCAAGATCGGGAGCACGTCCTGGAAAGAGGCCGGCAGCCGGCGGGGAGCCGCGTGGGAAGCGCGGGCAGCCTCCTCCGCACCCGGGCGCCCTGCAGGCGGCTGCACTACAGCCCCCATCAGCCCCCAGCCAGCTGGCGGGAAGGCCAGCCCACGGCGCAGGTGCGGGGACGCCGGGGGGCGGGGCCAGGTGGGTGTGCTTAGAGGGGGAGGGCGGAGCGGGAGGAGGAGGAAAGCTGCAGCCTCGCTGGGCGGGGGGCGGGCAACCCCCCCCGCCCCGCCCCGCCCCCCCCCGCCGCAGTGCAGCCCGGCCAGTGCCCGCGAGCCTCCTGCGCCCTGGAGAAGCCGCAGCCCGGTGAGCGATGGGTTGGGGGGCGGCCGGCACGACGCAGAATGCCCCCCCCCGCGCCCGCGCATGCATAACATCCACAAAAGGTGGGGGGGGGTCCGGTGTTCTGCCCCAGAGGAAGGAAACGGGGATGCGTCGGGACGGGAGCCTCTTCCGGGGCGGCTCTCCCGGCGGGGGTCGGGCGGCGCCCCCCCCCCCGGGCCCCCCCCCGTTCTGCGTCCCGCGGGGCCGCCCCGGGGGGGGGGGGGGGGGGGGGGGGGGTGTCCCGGGGACGGAAGGGGCCGGGCTGAGGGGAGGGGCCGCCCCCTCGCCCCCCGGCCGCTGCGGGGAGGCGCGTGATGGGAGATTCGCCCCCGGGGCCACATCCAGGCTTCCGGGGGTCGCCGCGCCAGTGCTCTGCAGCAACGCCGTGAAGGGGCTTTTGTGGCACGAGGACCACAGGAAACCCGTCACTCGGGGTTCGGGAAAGCCGGTCCGAGCCTTAAAACACAGAATAACGCTTCTGGGGTGTGGTGGGAAATGCAGACGCTTCCAAGGGAAAGCCATTGCGGGGCCACCCGGTGCCCTCCGCTTCGGATGGACGCAGCCCTCCAGAGCCAGACACGCCAAGCGCGGCGAGCCGCCGGCCCTCGTCAGCGCGCCCGTCTGCTGTGGCTGCCCCCCCGTGGGTCTGGTCGTGGTCCCAGAGGCCTGGGCCCCCAGCCCCAGCCCTCTCTCCTGTGGGGCCGGGCACACGCCTTCTCCTCGCCTCGGAGCCCCCTGGGGCCCTCGGAGGGGCGGCTGGCGTAGACCGCCCCACGCTGCTGGTGAAGTGGGCACGGCTGAGGCTCAGCCTTGGGGCAGGGCCCCCGAATAATCCGATGAGCTCCTAGACCGTGTCAGGAAGCCAAAAATGTAGTCCTTAGTTCAAACGATCTCCGTGCACCTCTCTCTCTCTCTCTCTCTCTCTCTCTCTCTCTCTCTCTCTCTCTCTCTCTCTCTCTCTCTC